GAGGTCTTTTCCAACCCTGTTGGTTCTCTGATTCATCTTTTAGGCACCTACTTGGAATTCCTGTGCCTTTATCACCTTTACAACCTTGGCTGTCCATGAAAGTATTGCTGTGCTGGGGCTGAGCAGAAGGAAAAATGAAACTGCAGCCCCAAACTACTTTATTTTGTCCTATTGGATGAGTATTTACTAGATCTCTATAACACATCTGTAATGTGGTCACAAACTGGATTGCTACTTAAGAGTTTTATACTGGGAGGACTCTGTGTTTATTCCCAAAAACTGAAACTCTATACTTCATCCTGGAAATTTATGGAGCAAAGCTTAGGAGTGTTGTCTGCATTAGCACTGTGAATTCCTGTAATACACAGGGAGAATTTCTCAGCTGCCTTTGAATAGAACCATCTCCCTTGCCCAGGAATTGCTTTTAGGCTTCATTGTTAAGCTAAAGTAGATAGCAAAGCTTTAAGCAAAGATTTTGCTCTGGCATTTAACAGCTGAAAGAACTTCAATTTTGTGCATGTTTGGGGTTCTTTGTATTTAAATTGCCATTAAGGCAAAGGTGGGAGGCTCAGCTGAGCCTTATCAACTGATTCCATCTCCATATGGGGTTTTTTTTTTTTTCCCTGAGAACCAGAAGTGCCAGTTGAAATACATGATTTCGGTGCCTCTTTCTACATAAGAAAAAAGCTTATTTTGCATTAACTTTTTGCATGTTCTGGAACTGCTGAGGTTCAGGAATTGAGGGAAAGATCCTCACAAAACTGATGCTGGAGGTTGAGGTTGATTGAGCCTGGTTTTTTTTCCATCTATCATTGGTTTTTATGACTTCAAGGAGACAGAAGTTTTATTGGACTGTTATTTTATAGAGACTTCTTTGTGTTTTCATGTCCAAAAATATCACAAATACGATAACTGTTTTACATTTAATAGCCACAAATTTCCCACTATCAGTCTTGGAGTTAGAATTGATGGTACAGGACTCCTGGTGTGGTCACATATCTTACCACAGGCTCCAAATTTGAATAGCAGATAATAAAATAATGAGGAGAGGAAGAATGTTGGATTTCTGGGGTTGGAAAAGGGCTTAATTGTGCATTTCCTTACAGTATTTTTCCATGGGTTTGGATTGCAAGTTGCCTTTGCATGTGCTTATGGTTAACAAAGCTCCTAGCTCATGGAAAAGAAGAGGTGAGGCTGGGAAAAGTCTTCAGAAGATGGATCAAGTTAAGTTCCTGCAGATTTGGTGGATGTGCAAACTCTTTTCTTGTTGCTCTTTTGGGTCTCAGATCTCCTGTAACCCAAGGAAAACTGGGTTGGGTTTTGGTTTAGTTTTTTCCTCTTCCATTTTCTTCAGGACTTGCAGTTGGTCTTTGGACATCTCAGTTAGGAATATTCTGTTGGGTTTTTTTCTGTTGTTTGATCTGTGGTTCTGCTGTTCCCAAGCAGCCTGGGCTGGGGGTCTGACTGCCTTGTTGTTTGTGGTTCTGCTGTTCCCAAGCAGCCTGGCCTGGGGGGTCTGACTGCTAGACAGGGAATGATGGAGGAGAGATGGGAAGAGGTTTGATTAGATCCAAGTTCCTTAAATTTCTCCCCTCTCATTTTGACATGACACTTTGTGCTGCTGTTTAGTCCTGGGCTTTGCTTTGAGTGATCATATCCCCCTGAAATCCTCCTCAGGGTGGTTCTGCTGTTCCCAAGCAGCCTGGCCTGGGGGGTCTGACTGCTAGACAGGGAATGATGGAGGAGAGATGGGAAGAGGTTTGATTAGATCCAAGTTCCTTAAATTTCTCCCCTCTCATTTTGACATGACACTTTGTGCTGCTGTTTAGTCCTGGGCTTTGCTTTGAGTGATCATATCCCCCTGAAATCCTCCTCAGGGCAACTGGTGTGGAGGAATTCTGTGTGTATCCAAATTAGGGATTTGGGATACAGTTTTGGCTCATAGAAAGGGAATAAGGGTCTGTGCCACTCCTTAGTGGTGGTGGTATAATAATAGTGGAATAGAAGTGTTAGGATTTGAGGGAATATGGGAAGATATGTCTGGCAGAAATTGGGATAGGGATAGACAGGGATGTGGGAGTGTAGGCTGGATATCTTTTAGGAAATACATGTATTTATGGCCACAATTAAATACATGGAAAGAAATACAAGTCTAGAAGGGGGGAAGATAATCCATGGAATTGGATAGCATTGCCAGGGAAACACAACTTCTCCAGCTCTGTGCTGCCCTAATGGAATAGGATAGGTAATTAATGGCAGAGGCAATTCCTTACCCTTTTCCACCCCCAATCTCCTCCTGATTTCCCTTGTTCTCCCTCTCTCACCCCTCACACACACATACACATTCCCTTTTGCAGCTGCATTGGAAGCATCTGCCATATTAAGCTGCTGGATCTGAGGGGAGGGGATGGAAAAATATCCTTTCTGTGGTGGGAATGTGGATGTGACACAACTGCAGCAGCTGAGGAAATAGAACTGTAGAGTCCGGAAGAAGCCCCAGAGGAAAGAGGCTTTGTAAATTATTCATGCTTGCTGGTGTGAAAGCAATAGAATTAAATTAAAATTGAAATACAAACATACATCATGTTAGATTTGTGTAAGGGAAGGGAATTTGGCTGCTGCTGGGGAAGGGGGAGGTGGGAGATGGCAGCCCACAGTGTCAGGGCTGTGAGTAACAGCACAGAGAGCTCAGTGTGTGGGTTCTCCATCAGCTCTGGGAACACTGGGAGGCTCTTCAGCTGCATCTGCTGCATGGAGACTGCTCTGGAGACCTTTAGACCTGTGTGGCACAGGATTTGCTCTGCTGGATTTGAAGGCATTGACATGTGTGTGTTGGTTCTGGGGCAGGATCACAAAATGGGCAGTTCTGCTCTTAAGCCATTTTTCATCCTTTGGGGAGGCTGAGGAGGTCAATCCCCAGAGCTCTTTGCTGCTCTGTGCTGGGATTGCTCTTCTATGTTGCTCTTTGTGTAGCACTGCACAGGTGCTTTGAAAATTCCTTCAGGAAAAGTGATTGCAAATGTGCTCAGTCCAAATCCCTTAAGCCAGGATTGATGGAGAGACCAGGGAGGAGCTCCTGCCTGGCCAGGAATTTGAAGCATGGGTGTCATCTGTGTTCCTGCCCTGCTTTGGCTAAATTGCATTTCCAGCCTTTGTGTCTTTCATTATATGAATTGAGTTTTCCTGGAAGTGCTGTCCATAAATACTCCTTCCCACTCAGCACACTCAGGTTACCAGTGCTCTCCCAGTCAGAGCAGCAGAAGCAACTCGTGGTCCTTGTAAAATGAGAAACAGGAGCTGGGAGGAAGTGGGACAGGGAGAAAAACTCATTTTCAGTGGCTTCTTAACTACTGCCATAAATCTTTTAGTAGTGGTGGTGGAAAGTGAAGGAGGAAGGGAGGTTGAAGCAGCTTTAATTTCAGGCTTTTCTGGAAGAGAAGGGATAGAACTGTTCTGGAAAGGTGTGGAGGAAGGATGAGAAACCCCAAACCAGTCCTGCAAAGTGGCTCTAATTACCTCAGCATCACCTTGAAGGTGAAAAAAGCAACTTAGTGCAAGCCAAAGCTTTGTACCTCAGAGCAGAACTAAAAGAAGACTCAGCTCTACACACACAACAGAGCTGTGGTCATAGCTCCCAGAGGCATGTGGCATCCTGTGTCCTTTTCCATCCTCCACCACCTTTTCATGAAATTCCTAAAGTCTAAAGCTCTTTCAGAATGATGTCAGTGTCCAGGCTGAGCATCCCCTTGCTACACTCTGTTCATTCTGTGCTTCATCACAGCAAATGGATATAGCCAAGGAAAACCACCTGTGAGTAACCTCTGTGTAGGTTTGTGCCGTGGCAAGGAGGTAATTCCAAGCTAGTTTTAATGAGCTTATGCCAATTGAAGTGAAAAATGCACATTTTCTCCCACTTAGGCACACGTGTTCAGATGCAGGTTGTAGTTATTGTTGTAGCTTTTTTATTTCTCAGCTCTGGCTCAGGATTGATGTGCCATGTCATGATGTATTAAGAAGTTTAACTACCCTGTTCTCTAGGTTAGTCTTTTGTTCCTTTAAGGCTTTTTTGTTTTTTTCTTTTCAGTGATGAAGTGATATCAATAATGTCTTTTCAGCCTGAAAAAGAGCTTGGCTAATAGAGGGAACGTGGGTTTGAGGTCAGGCTTGGGCCTGGCCTAGATGAGACAAAGTCATTGCTGTGTAATGACTGCAGGACAGGAGATGAGCAGTGTATTGGGTGTCAGTCACCAGAAGGGTTTAACTGCTTGGTGGGAGAAAGAAATACTTGAGAAAAAGAGTCTTCAAGTACCCTCAGAGAGTGTGGCAACTTGTGCTGCCTCTGGGGTTTCCAAGAATCGTAGAATCCTAGAATCAACCTGGTTGGAAGAGACCTCAAAGATCATTGAGTCCAACCCTACTGTGGTCACTAGCCCATGGCACTAAGTGCCACATCCAGTCTCATGTAAAAAACCTCCAGGGATGGTGAATCCACCACCTCCCTGGGAACAGGTAGAATTGATACTTTCCATGGAACTGGAACATCCACATTCCACCTCAATATGCTTCTCACTCTAGTATCCCTCCCCAGGCCTTGCAGCCAACGTGGGGGAGAGTGTAAATTTCCCTCAGGAGAAAGCCAAACTGAGCTTTGAGGGGAAGAAGAGCTGTCCCTCTGATCTGTTGGGTGTCTCTTGCAGTGCACGTGCCGTAAAGACATGGTGAAGATCTCCATGGATGTGTTTGTGAGGGTTCTACAACCAGAACGTTATGATTTGTGGAAACAAGGAAGAGACATTGCTGTCCTGGATCACATGAAACCCACAGCTCTGACCAGCCCAGAACTGGATGCTTGGAACGAGACTAAGGCAGAGCTGAAAGCGAAATTGCTTCGCAGGTAAAGAGAAAAACCAGCTGTGTCTGAGCACTGTGTTTCATTTTAATTGCTAAGATTTTAAATGCTGGAATTCTTAGTTTGAGGTCGTTCAAACTCTTTTTTTTTCCCCCTCTTTGTTCTTTTTTATACAATTCCTCATGTAATTTGTCTTGCTTAATGTGTCTCTCATTGTTCTGGTTCTTTTTCATGTTAGAAAAGCACATGTTTGCCAAAGTAGGACACCGTGTGCCCCCTCACATCTCATCTCTTATCCTGGAAGACAAAAAAAAAAATCTGTGGTAAACATTTTGAGCTTCACTTATCAGAAAACAGGAAGCAAAAAAAATAAAATAAATAAAGCCCCATCAGTTGCAAAAGGGATTTTCTGCATGCCTCTCTGTGCTTCCTTTGATCTCTGTATTAATTTTCTACAAGTCTGTGGTTTTTGTGTGTTACAGCATGCTTGAATTGGAAATTTGGCATGCTAACCTTTTCCTGTTGGAATCTTGCTTTATAGGATAGGAGATGAGGAAGAGGACAGCAAACACCGGTATGTGACTTCCCTCATCAACTTCAATCACTTCATTCTTTTTCCCTGTCAAGTTGCTTAAAACAGTAACTCTGGAATTGGTTTTTGGATTTTTTTTCAGTGAGTTTTTTTTCCATGTCAGCTTCCTTGGAAGCACACAGGAAATCTTTGGGCATTGAGGTTTCTCTCAGGCTTCATCTTGGATTTGTGTAGTTTTCCAAGGTCTCCTCTTGCATCATTGGAGAACCTCAGCTGTCTTGTGCCTGCTCTGGTGTGTCATTCTTGAGTTCCTCTAGCAGTGATGTGTGGTGGGAACTGGTTGTGGATAAAAGTCACTGGGCACCAGAGCAGGGAGGGAGTAAAATCTTGCTGCTGGCTCAGCAAGTGGAATTGGGCAGGAGTGGTTAGGACATTTTGCTGCTGATGGGAGAACTTCCTTCCTCCTCCAGCTTGAAGGAGGAGATCCTGTGTTGTAGGAAATTGAGCTATCCCAGGGCTTTGCTCTCAGAGGGAATGTGTCTGCCCTTCCTTATGCTCCCACAGCCTCCATCATTCCCACTCCTGTTTCCCAGAGCACTTGCAGTGCAGCACACCCCTCTTTTCCTTCTGCTCTCATCTAGGAGCTGTTGAGTTTCTGGGTGAGGCTTGGCAGGCTCTGAAGTTGCTTCATCCAGCTCTAATGTTCTGCTGATAATTTCAGTTATCACTTCTTGGAATTCCAGGAAAGAAGACTTCAATAGATTTTAGGCTTTTGGGGCCATCTTTGATAGAGACTGAGCAGCAGTTTAAAAACCTCTTAATTAGGTGATAGCTGATTTATTTAGGCATTCATCAAAGGAAAAGAAAACATACCAGTAAGAGTGTTTCTGTCACTGGGCTTTGTCTTCCAGGAGTTTGCACTGTGTCTTGTGTCCTGCCTTTCCTGCATGAACTGTGTTGTCCATTAATTCACAAATGCTGCAGTAGGAAAGTGTGTTCCCCATGAAATCCATGCTCCAACAGACACAAAAATAAGGCATGTGGCATTTGTCTGACCTCTGCAACATTTGCTCCACTCCAGAGCTTCTAGTCCTGAAATGCTTTCAACCATTCCTTCTCTACTGAGCTTCAGGAAAAACTGTGTCCTCTCAGAGTCAGGACTTGCCATTTGTGCTCTCTAAACTCCAGTGGATCCCTGGATCTTTCTTCCCCATCTGGGAACTGGGAATCTCTTTGCCTGTGGCTGTTAAGGATTACTGATAAATACACATATATATATATATACACTTCATGGTGTAAGGTACTGTATGAACACCAAGGATTATTTTCCCTCTTTGAGCTTATTACTCAGCACAGAATCTTCTCTCTCATCCTGAGCCTATTGCAAAAGATCCAGGTACATTTTTTCCCTTATCTCTTCAGTGTTTCCTAGATTATTTCAGCATTATCCTGAAGCAGTTTTGAAGCTGTTCAATACTCCTTAGCAGTACTCTCTCTCTCCTGTGCTTAAGTCTTTCCAAGACATCATTTTACTTGAAGCTTGACTTCTCTCAGCAGGATGGAGGAATGGGATTCACCTCTGCCCAAACCTCTTCACAGTTGTAGCTACTTAATTTAAGTCACTTTGTGCTCTGTTCTTCAAAGAGTACAAATGCTGCTTTTTTGTCAGCTCTCTTGGAAAATGGAGCTTTTAAACTCTACAGAGATGTGTTATTTTTTCTCTAAGGTCAGGCAGGCTTAGTTACCTTGAAAAAAAACTCAACTTTGTTTACTTTATGGCTTCAGCAAGAGACTATTTATTTCAGTCCAGTCCAGAGCAACCTATTTCTGGTCTGTGAATTCCATCAGACATGGAACAGCTTCACTTCTGGAAGGGTTCAGCCTTCAGCCTGTTGCTCTGGAAGAAGTTTCTTTAAATGCTGTGCTTTCTGCCTCTCTTCTTTTCCCCACAACTCCAGAGTGAGGAGAACACTGCAAAAACATTTTTTTTTTTTTTTTTTTAAAATCTCCTGGAGAAGTCTAAAGCTTTGTGCTGTAATTTTTACTTGGCATTTCCACACCACAGGAATAAAACACCAAACTCACCTTGTAGCACCTAACTCTGCTCCGAGGCTTTCTTCAACTCTGGGAAGTTCCAGCTGCAATGGCAAAGTCTTACACCTTTATTTTCTCCTTCCACCTTACTCTTCCCTCCAAAGGAAAGGTGATGTGTGCTTGGAATATGGGTGAAAAGCAAAGCTGATCCTTGTGGGTTGAGCTCTGTGTTGCTGCTAATGACTGGTGTGCAGGTGTGAAGGGAACATCTCTACTTGGAGGGACACACCATATGCTGAGAGTCTGGCAATTAGAAACACTGTGCATATGGATCAACTTCCCTTTCTATTCCTCATTCATCTCAGGTGGCTTTTTTTTTTTTCCCTCCCTTCTTTGTCAGTTACCTGATTAAGGGCTCTTAACTCTGTTGTGCTCCAAATCTAATTAGCAACTGAATTTCTGGGCTCTGAGGAGCTGCATTTCAGCTTTTCTAGGTTTGTGGTTGTGTTTTGTTGGTTTGTCACACCATGGTGGATGTAAGGCCATATGGAAAATGCTGCTTTCAACAAAGGGAAGTGTCTGCATGCCAAAAATGGGGTGAAATGGCAAGTTTTAAAAACAGTTTCTTTGGGAAAAAAAAAGGAGATTATTAGACTTCAACCCAAAACTCAAGGAGCTGTTTGATAGATCCTGTAAAAACATTGTACTGGGTCTGGCTGGGATGGAGTTACTGGGATTTGTGGCTACACCAGTGCTGATAAAGCACAGATCAGAGAGTCATAGGATCATCAGGGTTGGAGGAGACATTGAAGATCATTCAGTCCAACCATTAACCAGACACTGCTGGAACTCCTAAACCAGATCCTCCAGCACCAGGTCCAGA